TTCGGAATACACCGAGGTGGTGGAACTGTCCATGGAGACAGGCCATAGCTGAGTACTGCCTCGGCTATTGAGCGGCCAACAGGATGCTATATGTCAAATTTTTGTATAACAGTTTTTAGATTTGTAATTAATTATTATAATATTATTTACAAAAAAATTCGGAATACACCGAGGTGGTGGAACTGTCCATGGAGACAGGCCATAGCTGAGTACTGCTGCCTGGAGCTACTGGCACAGCCCGGCGACGGCGAGGAAGGGCTGGTGGGTGGTGGCTGGCCCTTGATCTGTCGTACATGAAACACGATGAGTCACTTCCCGTTGGTTGGTTTTTGCCGTTGGTCACGATCGAGGCGTGAGTTTTGCTGTTGGTCTGTATTTACTTACTTCACTTCATGAATGAATGATTGATCGTTCTAGGAAGGATTTTGATAATCTTTCTGTATACTCGTATAATGCCCGTGCTAACGTTACGGAAAAATCAATAACTAAAGTTTTTGTAAGAAAATATTTGTTTGCCAATTAACGAGATATTAAAACAAATCATACACAACGGAGGAAACATCTCAGTTTATATATATTATATTATATTAAAAATATTACTACTACAGAATTGGACTTCACTGTCGTCCTCATCTGTGCCGGATTTTAGAAAACCGACAGTGATAATTCATCATTGTCGGTTTTTGCTAAAACCGACAGTGATAGGACCAACCGACACTGATATTCAGGTATTCACTATCGGTTCATATCACTATCGGTTTTAGCCAAGAACCGACGGTGATATTCGGTCATCACTGTCGTTTTTAGCCAAGAACCGACACTGATACTATCAATGTCGATTTGTGCCTTGAACCAACAGTGATATGCTGCAAGAATATTTCATAAGTTTCTCATATGATGTCCGATAAAGATGAACTTTATATCAAAGTTGTAGTACTCGACGAGATCTACAACTTTATAGTTCAAACTTTTTTAATTTGAGATCGTTTATATGTTCAAATATTTTTATTTAAAATAATCTATCTAACAAAAAAATTACGTTTGATTTCTAAAATTTAAAATTTGAATTTTTCAAACAGCCTAGGATGAAGAAATGTCCAAAACAAAAGTTGTAGATCTCGAAAAGTTATGTAACTTTGTAGTTAAAAACTTTTTCATTTGAGATCATTTACTACTTAAAAATGTTGTTTGAAATTAAATTTTAAAATTGTTGAAGAACTCTGATTTCTCTTTTTAATCTCTAGCTAAAACTTGTAATTAGTCTTTCTCCCTCGTACTAGCTTCAAATTTGATGTTTTTTCCTAAAAAATTCTAAAATCATGCTCTATCAATTTATTATGTTCTTACCGCTATTATTTTATCCATCTTTTCATGTGACTGTGTTTTATCTATTTAAATTTTGAATTTCAAAAAAATGGCAACTTCAAACGTCAATTTGAAATACTAAATTATTTCAGCTGAAAAAGTCATAAACATAAAAGTTATAGAACTTATCAAGATCTACAACTTTTATTTTGGTCATTTCTTCATCCGATAAAGTGGCAGTAACATTATTTATAAAATTTACATCTCTCTTATAGTTTCATAAACAATAAGAGGGATATTTAACATTTGTGAATAATGTTACTACCACTATGTCGAATGAATAAATGATCAAATAACCAAAATAAAAAATTGTAGATCTCAGAAAGTCATAAAATATGTAGTTGACAACTTTTTTATTTGAAATTATCATGTCAAGGAAAATTACTTTTAAATTTCTAAAATTTGAAATTTAAATTTTATAAACAACCTTGGGTGGAGAAACTATCAAAATGAAAGTTGTAGATCCCAAAAATTTATGAAATTTTATAGTTGACAACTTTTTTATTTGAAATCATCTTCTCAAGGAAAACTACGTTTGAATTTCAAAAAAATTTGAAATTTAATTTTTTTAAATGACCTTGGATGGACAAACAGCAAAAATGAAAGTTGTAGATCTCAAAAAGTTATAAAACTTTGTAGTTGATAACTTTTTGATTTGAAATCATCTTGTCATGGAAAACTACGTTTGAATTTCTCAAATTTGAAATTCAAATGTTGTAAACGACCTCGGATGGAGAAACTAACAAAATATAAGTTGTAGATCTCAAAAAGTTTTAAAACTTTGTAGTTGACAACTTTTTCATTTAAATTTGTCTAGGGTCCCAAATACTCATTTCAAAATCAGATGAACATAAAATGGCTAGGACGAAAACCTCATTTGAACACAAACAGCTTGCAGGTGGAGTGGTTAGGGGCCGAAGACGCGAAGTAGGAGATCAGGGGTTTGAGCGCCGGTGGCCGCGAAGCGCGTGAAAAATCGCATGACTTGTGACTGACTTGCGACGCGCGACCGTGTGGGGCCTCTCCCGGTATTAAAAAAATCCCTATTTTTTCAATGAATTTTTTGGCTTTCCTATAAACCACATCACTGTCGGTTCCCATCAGTATCGGTTTATAAGAACCGGCAGTGATGTCAAACCCCATCACTGCCGGTATGCCACTGTCGGTTCAAAATCCGACAATGAAGGGGGGTTTTGAACCGACAGTGATATCAAGATCTGAGGTAGTGTATAACAATGCGTGATGATACAGTGCAACCATAATTCAATTAATAATATATTCATATTTATTTTTTCAGGAATCAATATCTAGATATTATATAATACAAAATATCTAGAAGTCTTCACCCATATCTCCAGTTGTTTGTACCAAGTATATTGCCTCAAATAATCAATGATGCCAAACACAAGCTCATGTTTCCCCTTGTCCACTCCCACAAGAAGAGAATAATCTAGCATGACATTCACTGACTGCGAGTACAATAATTATGTTCACAAATGTTTTTATTGAAAACATAACTGTCAGTAATTGTGACAAAGATGTGCTTTATACTTACAGGTGAGGAAAGATGTGTCATTCCTGATTGCATGTTGCAAAAGATGCCTTGTTCTTCCACCAATATAAATTGGAGAACCCATGTACTCAACATAATTATTCTGCGTCTGAAACAAAATGCATGGGTTGCTCGCAAATTTCACTTCCATCAGGAGATTAGCGGGAGCCTGCTATCTTGTTTTTTAAATAAAAGAAGCATTATTAAAAAAATAAAGTTTCCGCCAATCTAATCCATTCCCATGTATTGTACATACGAATCTAGCACCAATGCATATGCTTTTTTTCACTTACCAGTGGACATGCAAGTGCGACACACACGTGTCTATTGTATTGGCGGCATCTCATTGTTAATAATGTGACACCATGGTTTTCTTAAAATATTATGTTTTCGTTTTATAAAGCTTGTATGTAGTAAATCTATCTATTCTATACTACAAAGGAGCGAATGAATTAGAAATCTATTGTCACCATAAAAATTTCCTACCCACCTTAGATTGACAAGTGGGCCCATTACGTCAGAATGACAGGAACATATGAAACATGAATGTGACACCATGGTTTTCTTAAAATATTATGTATTTGTTTTATAAAGCTTGTATGTAGTAAATAAGGAAAAAACTAAATTAACTAATATTGAGAAAAGCTTGCAACTAAAAGATATGTAGGGAGAGGCATGATGTGACGATGATATATATATATATATATATATATATATATATATATATATATATATATATATATATATATATATATATATATATATATATATATATATATATATATATATATATATATATATACACACACACACCGAGGTACTGCCAGGCTATCTTTGTATGAAAGCTTGGTTCTGAGATACCAAGCTTGGTTCTGAGATACCTGCCTACCGAGTCCTGATTCCTGAACCATCATCATCATATGGTTTCATACGTTTGCAGTCATGATTCTTTTCTTTCTTTCTTTCTTGATTTGAGTGGTGGAGAAGAGAAGAGAAGAGAATGAAAGCTGAAATGGTTTGGAAGATCCATGACGAGGCCCAAAACGCTAAGCATCTATCCCATTCAAGGCCCGGCCCATCATAATTTCGTTCTCCTGCTTCACCGGCGCGTTCGGTTCTACCAACGCCACGTGTCTGGCTTGCGCTTACCGTCGTCACCAACAATACAAGGGGACGGTCCGAATGCAATTTTTTGTCCACAGTACGACTCCTCCATTGATGTCCCGTGAAGCTCGCACGTCCCCACACTCATGTTCTCTCCTCCTCTCCTATATATACACTCCACCACACGCACGTCTCAATGCAAGGACGACATTGACGAGGCTACCCAAAGGCACTCACAAGAGCAAAATCACCACCCTGCAATGGCCCAGAGCATGAGGATGGTGGCGCTGGCCCTGGTGGCCCTCCTGGTGGTGGCGGCGTCGGTGCCCGCGGCCACCGCGTACGGCTGCTACGACGACTGCTACGAGCGGTGCGCCAACGGCAAGACCGACCCCGCCTGCACCAAGATGTGCAACCAGGCGTGCGGCACCACGGACCAGAGCGCCGCCGCTGGTGCCGCCGGCGGCCCCCCGGCTTGATCGCCCAGCACATTACTTCATCGGTTCAGCTCCATATTATATATAATCGCTGCTCCGTAAGCCCACATATTATGATTCATCTTCCTCGCTCTTTTGATTTATCGACCCCATTGATTTTTTTTCCCCTCCTCTTCTTCTACTACTGCTATCTGTCTGTTGTGTTCATGTCTTCTCGTGTATCAATCGACTCATCCTTTTGTAATTCCTGCAATTTGTAAGTGAAATGACCTCTACGATTCAAGTTTCTTTTTAAATTGTAATGTTGTGCCCCAATCTGCTTCCATTTCCCTGTATGCATAAGAATATATATACTAGTGTATATCCTTGTGCTTTCTAAAAGCAGAGTTTTAAAAAATATATATATATGCTGTCAATCCTCAATCTGCTAGTACTACTATATGCTGTCAATCCTCAATGCAAGAAGCTAGCTAGCTAGCTAGCTAGCTACGTGATGGCGCGCGCAAGCATCCCCATCCGGCCATCCCGACGGGAATTGGGGATCAGGAGGAGGCCGGCGGCGGCGGGAACGGCACCTCAACGAGCCCTTCCAGCATCAGGATGACGCTCCTCATGGCGGGCCTCGCCTGCGGCTCCGCCTGCGCGCACCACAGCGCCACCTTGACCGCCCGCTCCACCTCCGCGGCGTCCACGGCCTCGTCGCCGCCCACCACCCGCCACACCTCGCCGCGCACAAGCCACTCGTGCGCGCACTCCATGAGCGTCCGCTCCTCGCCGGCCTCCTCCAGCTCCATGCTCCGCCGGCACGTCACGATCTCCAGCAGCACCACGCCGTAGCTGTAAACGTCCGCCTTCACCGTCAGTGGCCCAACGCCGCGGTACCACTCCGGGGCCAGGTACCCGCGCGTGCCGCGCACCCCCGTGAACGTCCGCGTCTGGTCCGGCAGCAGCAGCTTCGCCAGCCCGAAGTCGGCGATCTTCGCCGTGCCCGACGCGTCCATAAGGATGTTCTGCGGCTTCACGTCGCAGTGAATCACGCGGCTGTCCAGCTCGTCGTGGAGGTAGTGCAGCCCGCGCGCGACGTCCAGCGCGATGCCCATCCGTTCGCTCCACACCGGCGGTCCGCCGCTGTTCTTGAACAGACGCTCCGCCAGCGACCCATTGCTCATGTACTCGTACACCAGCAGCCGGTTGGCGCCCTCGTGGCAGAACCCCAGCAGCCGGACCAGGTTCCGGTGGCTCGTCCGCCCGATGGCGCGCACCTCCCGCTGGAACTCCACCTCCCCCTCCTCCACCATCTTCTCCAGCCGCTTCACGGCGATCGCCTTCTCGCCGTTGTGCGGCAGCGTGCCCCGGAACACCGTGCCGAACGCGCCGCGGCCCAGCGGCTCGCGGAAGCTCCACGTCGCGTCCTCCAGCTCCTGGTAGCTGTACGACCTCAGGGCGCCTCCTCGTCCAAGGCCTCCCCTGCGTCCGGCTCCGCGGTCGTCCTCCGGTTCGCCAGGACCAGCCGCGCCGCCGCCACGAGGGCGGCTAGCGACACGAACGTCAGGACCCCGATGCAGACCAGCGCGACAGTGGCCGAGCGCCCGACGCGGCGGCCCCCGCCGATCGCTGGGCTTCCCGCGGCGTTCTTGACGAACAGAGTGTACCCGCCGCCCGCGCGGCCGTACCGGAGCGGGAGCTGCTGCTTGGTGCAGGTGCCGTCGTTGCTGTTGAGCAGCACGGCGGCGCAGAGGCAGTCGGCCATGCACGCGGCCTGGCAGTCGGCGGCGCTCGTGCCCGCGCCCAGCACGGCGTACGGCGTGTCCGCCCACGACATGTTCTGCATCGCGACCATGCTAGCAGTAGCACCAGAACCAGCCGTGGCGCAGTCACCGGCGCCCGTGGTCTCGGTGCACCCGAGTGGTGCGTTGGCGGTGTCGATGAAGCTGAACCCCGGCGGACACCGGCAGTCGGGCTGCGCGTCGCGGCCGAGGACGCAGTAGCTGTTGAGCCCGCACGCGCCCTTAACGTGGCACCGGTCGTCCGGCCCGATCCACTGGACGCTGGTCGTCCACGCGCCCCCCGACGCGACGGCGTGGCGGTACAGGCGGAGGACCCCGTCGGGGTCGAGCGTGACGCGGTAGAAGACGTCCGTCTCGCCTGGAGACCGCGCGGTGCCAGGCCGCATCAGGTTCTTGGTGTAGTTGCCGTTGTTGCCGGTGACGTAGAGCACGCCGGTGGCGTCGAGGCGCAGCGTGAGCGGGAAGCCGATCTGGAACGTGCCAGTGGCCCAGTACGCGGAGTTCGCGGTGTTCTCCGTCTGGACCGGGTACAGGACGAGGTTACCGTCGTTGAGCTGGTTGGTGAGGCGGTACCTCCCCGTGGCTCTGTTGGTGAGCGAGACGCTGGAGAAGAGCTGCGCGCCTGGGACGAGGTCCTGGCCCGGGAGCAGGGTATCGGTGGGCGCGGCGAAGGTGGACCAGACCATGGTCCCGTTGGCGTCGTAGAGCATGAAGCTACCGTCGTCGCGCATGGCGGCGGCGGCGGCCGGCCGGGACGGCACCGCGAGGTTCCGGTCCTGGCCGTCGGCGGGGCCCGTCCAGACGAGGCGGCCGTCGTAGGTGAGCCAGAGCGCGCCGCCCGTGGACGGCGTGTCGTTGCGGTTGGCCGTCCACGTGACGGTGATGTTGGGGGTGGTGGCGAGCCAGACGCCCACGGCGAGGCCTCCGTCCGTGGCGTAGAAGCCGAAAGCGAAGCGGCCCGACGGGGACGGCCAGCCGGCGCCCGCGGCCGCCTGCAGGGAGGTCCCCGTGGTGACGTTGGTGGTCTGCTGCTGCGCGGCACCTGGCGCGGGCACGGAAAGAAGCGTGGCGAGCGCGAGCAGCGATAGCATGGGGGTGGGTAGAGCCATGGCGCGCGTCGGCGGCCAATCTAGCTAAATGAACTCCACCATGGCTGCTGCTGCCGAAGGAGGAGGAGGAGTGATGAATTGAATTGAATTCATTGACTGGCAGCATGCTGATGAGATTTGGTTAGGATATGATCCTTGCAAGTAAACTAGAGATTTGGTTGTGTTGTTAGTCAAAGATTGTTCCATCATGCGTGCATTAAGTCCAAGCTGAATATGAACGTACACGAGGATATATTTAGGTCACCTTTCATATAGGTCAAATTGGTTTATTTTTATAATATATATATATATATACACACTTGTAGTGGTAGGGCATATATGTTTATATGAGCATGTTAGCTTGTTGGTTTCAACTAAATCTTATCAGTCATGGTATAATATTTTTTCTCACAACAAACCAGCCCTAATGAAGCTTATCAGCCTAGAACCAACCAACGAGGAATGCATGCTGGACGGCGACAGGGAAGCCCGGATATACATGTGTTGGCATTGGATCTTATGCCATGCATTTCTAAGGTTTCGAGGTACATCAGCGGATTCGGCTGTATTCCGGTTTCGATGTTGCATGGGATTAGAATATGGACTATATCGACCAAGGCCATCAAAGAGGAAGGTGATGAAATGACTTAGATGAAATATTGTTTTTTTTTCTCTCTAATTTAGAAAGGGGTGTACTGTACTAAGTTTGAATATAATTATTCCTACCCGAAAAAAGAAGGCAACATAATTTTTTGAAGTTTTTTCTATTAGTATATATATATATACTCCATCTGTTACAAATTACATATTATTCTAGCTTTCCTAGATACATAGATTTTGCTATACATCTATATATACATTATGTCTAGAAACATAATAAAATTTGTGTATCAAGAAAAGTCAAAACGACATATAATTTGAAATTGAGTAACACCCAACAAAAATTTTTTCTCGAATACGCAAAAGATTTGCTTATCATTGTAATTAAGAAGAAGAAGAGTTTAACCATACACACGACACACATTTAATGAGCGCCCTAGGAGGTCTTACAGTTGTGACTGGACCTTCCTAGCAGATTGTTTCAAACTTCGATATTACATAAAAGTAAACAACCGAACTAAGGGCAGCGCAGTAACCTACGGAGCTGGGGGTCTCCGCTACTGGCCGCGCAACTCTGCTCTGTCATCCGAGAAGAGTCTTCTACAGTCATAGCATTGGTCGTCGGGAACAGCACGTTCAGTGCTTCCACTTTACTCGACGTCAAGTTTCTTGCGAAAAAGTTACAGTAAGCTTTCTTGGACGCGGATGAGATTGGAGCTGTCGGTGGTGCAAAGGCCATCCTCCGCATGAGGAGCACCTCGCGCCCGCTTGGAGGTCAGAATGTGCGCCAGCGGCTGAGCGGCAATCCGTCTGCTCCGTCTTGGCATGGGTTGCCTTATGGTTGTCACCTTCTGTCTGGGTGGGCTGACGATTAATGGCGGCATTTGCTCGAGCTGCACCTCCTCAGTGAACGGTTGAAAGGTCCTAATGACTAGAGGTGGGGTGAATAGTCTAATAAATTTCTACAACAACACTTAATCAAGATGGTTAGACAATTATAGGTCAAAGCAAGTGTTGCGCTAGCCTACCGCGATTCTAGTTTAGATAGTATCTAATCACACAATAGCTATGACACTACTCTATGTTAGTGTGCTCTCAATGGCTAACTAAAGAGCCACACCAACCAAACAAACAAGCTCTCACAACTAGCTACACTAAAGAGCTTAACAACTAGTTTGCGGTAAGATAAGGAGTATGCAAGAAGGTTATACCGCCGTGTAGATGTATGAACCAATCAATCACAAGTGTGGATAATAATGAAGACCAATCACCTCAGAATCAATATGATGAACACAATGATTTTTACCGAGGTTCACTTGCTTGCCGGCAAGCTAGTCCTCGTTGTGGCGATTCACTCACTTGGAGGTTCACGCGCTAATTGGCCTCACACGCCAAACCCTCAATAGGGTGCCGCACAACCAACACAAGATGAGGATCACACAAGCCACGAGCAATCCACTAGAATACCTTTTGGCGCTCCGTCGGGGAAAGGTCAAGAACCCCTCACAATCACCACGATCGGAGCCGGAGACAATCACCACCCTCCGCTCGACGATCCTCACTGCTCCAAGCCATCTAGGTGGCGGCAACTACCAAGAGTAACAAGCGTATCCCGCAGCGAAACACGAACACCAAGTGCCTCTAGATGCAAACACTCAAGCAATGCACTTGGATTCTCTCCCAATCTCACAAAGATGATGAATCAATGATGGAAATGGGTGAGAGGGCTTTGGCTAAGCTCACAAGGTTGCTACGTCAATGCAAATGGCCAAGAGAGTGAGCTTGAGCCGGCCATGGGGCTTAAATAGAAGCCTCCATGAAATAGAACCGTTGTACCCCTTTACTGGGTAAAACGCGGGGTAACCGGACGCTCCGGTCAGTTGACCGGACGCTGAGCCCCCAGCGTCCGGTCGCTCGCTGTTAGCCACGTGTACCGATTTCAACGGTCATCTGCCTTGACCGGACACTGCGTTGAAGTTGACCGGACGCTGAACCCCCAGCGTCTGGTCGTTTATAGTAAGGTTCCAAAACCGACTTTTGCCGACCGGACGCGTCCGGTCATGCTTGACCGGACCCTGACAGCGTCCGGTCTCTAGGTATCTGTCTGCTGCTCCGCCCGACAACAGCACCGGACACAGCCACCAGCGTCCGGTCGCTGAACGACCAGCGTCCGGTCACTTCCAGCGACCTCCGTCTTTTCTGTCTAGGGCGCCGGTGGAGTTTCTTACCCTTGCATCTAAACTTCACCACCCTTGATCAAATGTGCCAACCACCAAGTGTATCACCTTGTGCATATGTGTTAGCATATTTTTACAAACATTTTTAAGGGTGTTAGCACTCCACTAGATCATAAATGCATATGCAATGAGTTAGAGCATCTAGTGACACTTTGATAACCGCATTTCGATACGAGTTTCACCCCTCTTAATAGTACGGCTATCAAACCTAAATGTGATCACACTCTCTAAGTGTCTTGATGACTAAAACAAAATAGCTCCTAAGATTTATACCTTTGCCTTGAGCTTTTTGTTTGTCTCTTTCTTCTTTTCCAAGTCCGAGCACTTGATCATCACCATGGCATCATCCTCATCATGCAATGATCTTCATTTGCTTCACCACTTGAAGTGTGCTACCTATCTCATGATCACTTGATAAACTAGGTTAGCACTTAGGGTTTCATCAATTCACCAAAACCAAACTAGAGCTTTCAATCTCCCCCTTTTTGGTAATTGATGACAACCCTTACATAAATATATGAATTGAAATTCAATTGAATACATGTTGCTTGTCCAAGCATATTTACTATGTGTAAAAGGATATGGACAAGTTTCATGAACCCCAAATGGTAGCAATTGCTCCCCTTACATATGTGCTAAGAGTTTAGATTGAAGCTTGCATATATGATTAGATAGGAAGTATAGGAGACAATGTCTACCAAATGATGATAAGTTATAAAAGATGGACCTTTAAAGTGTGATACCAATCGGAGTGCACCAATATACCATTCTTAGCACCATGATTAGCTTTATACCACTTGGAAAAAACAACTTGGAAATAAAATCATTAGATATCCTATGCATGCTAGTGTTTTATTTCATCATTCAAACCTACAACTAGCGTACTCCACACAAGCATGGATATTGAAATTTAAAAACTTGTGCCATGTAAGCAAACATATGAAATGCACATTCAAATGCACCATACAAGTTCATGAGCTTGCTCCCCCTACTTGTGTGCTCAAAATTTTAACTGATCTCTTTCCTTTGTCATATCTCTCCCCCTATGTCAAATTCTCCCCTTATCACTTATATCTTTTATTTATCTCCCCTTTGTTGTCTATTTACTATCTTTGTGCACTATTTCTCCCCCTTTGTCATCAATGACCACAAAGGTTAAAAAAATGTAGATAATACCATTTTTAGGGTTGAGATTATCAATGTCAATCAATGGGGTGAGGATTACATACTCAAATTTTGTTCAAACTAGAATATTTGCCAAAGATATTTAACTCGGTTTGATCGAAGGACAAGCTTCTTCACACCTCTAAGTAAGGGTTATCTTGTACCATGTTGAGTTAAACACTTAGAGCTTATTTTCTAGATTAAACACTAGGTTTACAAGCCCATAAACATGTCATATGTTACCACTAAATCAAGTCAAGCATAGAAGCAATAGTGATACCATATAAACATTAAATTCATTTGATTTTCATGAATGAGCCTATTAAATGTGAAAGATGTCTAGATGCACTAAACATGTCCTTAGCAAGGATGTATGCAATGCCAATCAACTTATATCTTGGATTGCTTGAAGGAGAGGCATGTCATATAAGTGGGGGGTGCATCAACACATATTTGAGAAATCCAATATGTTCAACTCATTCCTTAGCTTGCAAAACATTTTCTCATCTAATGGCTTGGTCAATATATCGGCAAGTTGATCTTCGGTGCCTACACTCTCAATGCAAATGTTCCCTTTTTGTTGGTGATCTCTTATGAAATGATGGCGGACATTAATGTGCTTTGTTCTTGCATGTTGAACCGGATTGTTTGTTAGCTTAATAGCACTCTCATTGTCACATAGCAATGGCACTTTCTTGAACTTGATTCCAAAGTCACTCAAAGTGGCCTTCATCCAAAGTATTTGTGCACAACAACTACCGACGGATATGTATTCGGCTTCGGCGGTTGATAATGCAACACTATTTTGCTTCTTTGATGGTCATGAAACAAGTGATCTTCCCAACAATTGACATGTGCCCGAGATGCTCTTCCTTTCAACCTTGCATCTCACATAATCCGAGTCAGAGTAACCAACTAACTCAAACTTTGCTCCTTTGAGATACCACAAACCAACATTTGGTGTATACTTCAAGTACCTCAATATTCTCTTTGTAGTCTTTAAATGACTTTCTCTTGGAG